TATTTGTCACGTATTTAAATTACAATATTGTTACTATGTACATATTACACAGACAATATTAAAAAATATTAGTTGCAATATGTGTTTGAGGTAATGTCAACAATTGTGCACTTCTAAATCTAAATATTTGACAAATAAACTTTAAAAAAAAAGTAATCTTCTCATTGTCATTTGATTGCAAAAATGCCCAAAATATAATATAATCAATTTCAAAGGCTGAACATTCAAAATCTGAAACAGCGTGTTGCTGAGTAAACAGCATGACTCTAGAGTTACATAACAGAGTCCAGCAGTCGAGGGTACAAGACAACATGACAGACATATCACCCTCCTCCAGCTATTTTCTCTCAGACAACGGCTGATCTATAATATACTACCTCCATAACAAGTTAGAAACAATTGCTTTAAATCAATCTCTGGCAAGGCCTCTGTAATGTTCCTCATAAATTACCTCTCTTCCCTTTTTTCCTCCCTTCCATCTCAACTCCACAGGACAGAAAAAGGGACAAGTCCAAATCTTTTCAGATCCAAATGAGACGAAATGAGGAAGAGACGGTTAGCGCTGTGTTGGGATGCCTCACATCGATCAAAAGCAGAGATTTGGCTTCCATTACTGAGCAGACACTAATCATCCACTTAAAGCGTGTAAACACAACTTGTAATGTGTAAACATTATATATTTCTACTTATGCTGGAAAGCCTGACAAACTGATTTGAAATAACAGTTCGATTTTTAATTGAACCATTTTGAACTTTTAAGATTAAAAAGTTTGCATGTGTTTTTTGTTTAGCATCATATTTAAGGTTTTTATGGCTCATATAGTACGATAACGAAGAGACTCGTACTTGAGGGAAAATTCCCAAACTGAGCAAAAATATGCAATTTGGTGTTCTTGCTGATGTTTATATCATATTTATATATGTGTGAGTGTGTGTAATAATATGTGTATTATATATATGTAATCATAAATTATTTATATGATAAAATATATGCTATATTATTTATAATATCAAATGCTTGCAGGAAAGATGACATACTAGCAATGAGCAGGGTGTCCATTCGTGGAGGCGGCTGAGGAGGTTTGAACATCTTGCTCAGGTCTTCCTCAGGAAGCGGAGGCTCTCCTCGACTCTGTCTCTGCGCATTTTACTGTTGCCGTCTCTGAATGTACTGTAGAGGGATGAAGAACAAACGGTTATTCTGAACTTGATATCCCAATCTTTTGTTATTAACCGGCAGGCTGCCTGAATGAAAGCAAATCTTCTGAGAGGCAACCTTTTAAGATGGCCATGACAGGCCAGGAGAGGTGGCAGTGTGTTTAAAAGAAGGGGAAGATGACAGCTGGAACAATAGACACTGATGACTGTGTTGTGAAGGAGCTGTCTAAAAAAAAAAAAACTAAACTGTACTATACTTCCGATAACATCAGAGTAATCATTCAACTAATCACTGATAATGCAAGTGGCATTGTGTCCTTTGTGCCTCCTTGTAATCAATCACATTTTCTGCATCAGGTATTAATTAGATTTCAAGAAATTAGTAAATAATGAGAGAATCACTATCATTACAGTATCAGGGGAATTTGGGAGGTCACATGTACTTCAACCAATCACAAAGAGTCCAGCACTGAGGAAGGCCATTACCACCTCGCCTCTCCGGTCTCATACAGACCTTGATATACAGCCACTCAATAAATCTCTTTTAACTTCACTGGCTTTATACTGGAGTCAGTGCCTTGGCTGGCTGCGTGGCACAAAAATCCCAGACACTCTCGCATTAATAGGAAGATTTGCAGCTTTATATTTGAAAATGAACTTGGATGAACCTCATGAAGAAAAATCAAGGTCATACTTCACCCTACAATTCTGCATAGAGACAATAAAAACTATTTGTTTGGACCACTAAGATTTTGTTGTTCAGTACATGATGTATCCTCCTTACATGTGTACCAGATTCTGTATATACAATACCATTCATAAATTTGTGGTTTTTAAGAAAAATTATAAACTTAATGATTATAATTATAATGATTATAATTTTCTTGCATTATCATTACACTTACAGTATGCTCACCAAGGCTGCGTTTGATCAAAAATACAGTAAAATCTTTAATAATGTGAAAAAATATTTTTAAATATATAATTAACTGTTTTCTTTCTTAAATCTATTTTTTAATGTACTTTATTCCTGTTATAGCAAATGGCACATTTTTAGCATCCATTACTCCAGTCTTCAATCTCACATGACCCTTCAGAAATCAGACTAATATGCTGATTTGGTGTTTAAGAAACATTTATTATTATTAAAAACACTTTCATTATATACAGAACAATTTTTTTTTTTTAAATGTAAAAATTACAGGAGAGATGTGTAAAAACAACCTTGAAATATTATTTGATCTCTTCATGCAAAAATGTCATTCATTTACAATTTTTGTCTTTTGCTTTTCGGGGTGTAATATGATCTAAACATTTCTTGACTGTTTTCATGAGAATCACACTTTCTATTGTCTACACCATGAATGAACAAATAAACAATTATTTAAGAGTAAGATCTTTAATTGCTAAAAAACTGTACCAACCAAAATGCACCCTGTGTTTTCGAAACAAAGCTTTGATTACAGCCTCAGAGCTAATTCCTGGGTTTCGGGTTGCACAGTTTCATCAATTACAACTGTATTATAATTATATCTTACAGAGCATAACATCAAAAGTGAAACATCAAGCCTCATCAGATGCTCATTCAGCGCAAGCCCCTTATTGTGATCTTTGTGGTGACAACCTGTTTTCCCATGAGCACACATCGCGCTAGCAAAGCTACCATTAACGGTAACTAGCATTTACAGGCTTATGACAGCTCTCATCCCACAAGCACATCAAAGCATTCAAAAGTGTGCGCTCCCCCCATGTCACAATCATCCACAGCCCACTCCCACGTCCCTGTAATATTCTGGTCCCAAGATATGGCTCTGTTCCTTCTACCATCTGCTAAGTGAAAATCTGATCACTTGAAAGTAATAGCACACCTTTTCTCAACAAGCTGGATGATTTGAGGTATCATTGGGAAACAGTGTGGGAAAATCTCTAGATGAAAAGACAGGTGTAGCCGTTTGATGGATTACCTGATGTTTCTGCTGCTGTTGCTTGCTGAGACTGCAGCAGTAGTTGTTGTACTTGACAATGTCCTGACTCATGTCGTCCACACGGTCCATCAGCATCTGCAGGCTCTTCTCCAGATGAGTACTGCAGAGGAACGACGAGGTGAAGACGTTTGAATAATGGAAATGATGAATGTGCATTTGATTGCTTGATAATTAGTGAACGCTTCTTCATAGTGTCTTACGGTACACAAAAATAAATGTATTTTATGAATAGCATGGAGAAACTCAGGTAAACCAAAAGAGAAGCTGACTAATTCTTACATTCACAGTTTTTCCATAACCTGACTTTTATATAGACGTCACATTTTTTTAAGCAAGGTCACAAATATACTGAATGTTAAATGTGAAGTGATTTAAATAAATAAATAAATAAATAAATAAACATTAAGAAAAATCAAAGCCATGCTGCAAAAAAATTGGAAAAAAATATATATTTATATAATGAAGAAAATATTTTTAAAATAAAAATAGGCTTTTCTTAATTACAAATATATTACCATTTATAATTTGAATGAAGACTCTTATACTCACTAAATATGTATTTGATGAAAAATAACTCTTTTCTATTTTAATGTCTGAGCAGCAGTATATCTAAACATCCTTAAAACGTGATGAATTTTTTCATTGCTAGCGAATAAAAGGATTTTTTTGCTCACACCATGTTTGTAGTGAAATTTCAGTATGCTTGGATTAGAAATGTAAAACTCTGCCAGTATCTTGGCAACGCCATAAAGATCAAAATCTTATGGGAAAGTCAAATGATCAAAGCACATCTTAACCATCAACAGAGTAACACAGAATTTAAAAAAAAGCAAATAGCATGGATTCCTCATTAATAATTCATCACGTTCCACATGCATCAAGATCATTTGCATGTATCATGCGATATGCAAAACAGGTCCCACTGTAACTAGTAGAATGATATCTATATTTTATAACAGGACAGCAGCCCGTAGGACCAAGGATTGGGAAAATGTCTTCAAAAGCAGTTTATCTGTTCTTGGTAAACCCCATTAACAACAAATTAGCCTCGCCAGCATGTTCCATTCATCTTGAAGAAAAATGCAGGACGTATGTGGGGAAGTGAGATCCCGGGGGTGCGGACAAACCAGGAGCAGCTCTCTATCATGCATGAACATGTATACCCTGGTGCACATCCACACAGAGATGTATGTTAACACCAAGTCATCTTGTAAGGTCTATGTATGTGCACTACAAAGAAATCTCTCATTAGCTGCTGGAACAATCCAGATAAAACCAGATTAGTCTTTTGGAACAAGGTAGCTGGTTTGCAACTTCTCCAAATGGGTGATTACTCAGTTCAAGCTAGTAGATCTTGGACCAGCAACAAACCAGCTTTATGACCTGGTCAACAAGCCTGGAACAGCTTAATAAACTTTATTACTTACTAAATTCTATACTACTTTGTGTAAAAAGTTGTTGTAAAAAATGTTTCAAAAAGTAAATTATGATACTGCAACGTTATAAAGTACAGTTTGAAAAATTTATATTAATATAATTGATAATAATTAGTATTATAGACTCATACTTATAATTATAAATTAATCAGATTTTCTAAAGTTTACATTTAACATTCTTATTAAATTATTAACTAACAATAGTTTAGCAACATTTAAGATAATGCTTAATGCTTAAATATCCAATATCAGCCAACATTCATAAATTAAAAACATCCCTAATATTGACCAATATATTATTATGGACCGTGTGGCTTTAGTATACACATATCGGTTCAACAAATGAATGGCAAAATGGGTCTGTTAATAGGTGACATGACAGGAAGCAAACTTACTGCGTACTAAAATAAAATGTTTTACAAAAGCAAGACTCAACTCCTTAGCCAAATGTTGATTTACAGTTGATATACGATGTTGTGACACTCCAGAAGTGCAGCGGCAAACCGTAGACGCACCCTCCACTACATTTCCAAAACACAGAGAACAAGACCCAGAAGACTGTGGATTGCAATAGAACACAAATTCAGATTATGACTGATGACCATAAAAACGGCAGTGAACAAAAAAGACGACACAAGTTCAGGGAATCTGCTCACTGTACATTTAAAGAGAAGATTGTACTGTAAACCACAGCTTAACTAGACTCCGAACAGCAAAAAAAAACACATACACAGATTTTTCTTTTTCCCTTTAACTGCCCCTACAGGGCGAGTTATATAGTTTGCTGGCTCTGCAAGTTTGGCAACAAAGGAAGCTTGTGGAGACTAAAAGAGAGAAAAGAGAAAGAGGGAATGTGTGTGTGTGTGTGTGGCCCTGGAAGCAGTTTTTAATGTTTCTGAAGAGTCTTTCTGTGGAGGCGCGCCAGCTCTGATGAATGAGGGCAAGCATCCCTGTATGACCTCCATCTTTTACCATGCACCTCATTATTCAGAGTCCAATGAGCTCTATGGATCTTTCCCTGTCCCGCTATCTGAATCTCACCCACACACACACACACAAACACACATATGTTTTTTTATATTTATTTATATATATTTGTATTTATTTTCTATAAATCATTCTTTATATTATTTTCTTTAGTTTTTTTATGCACATTTGCATATTTGTGACAAACACTGATGACAGCATTATTGCTTGATTTTTTTTGGGGTCATATCTATATAGCAATAATAATCATAATTATTATTGTTGTTGTTGTTGTTAATAATAAACAAAGACAGTTAAAAGCTAACAGCTTTATACACTACTAGTCAAAAGTTTTTGAACAGTAAGATTTTTAATGTTTTTAAAGAAGTCTCTTCTGCTCACCAAGCCTGCATTTATTTGATCCCAAATACAGCAAAACAATACAATTTTGAATTATTTTTACTATTTAAATATGTATTTTCAATTTGAATATATTTTAAAATGTAATTTATACCTGTGATTTCAAAGCTGATTTTTAGCATCATTACTCCAGTCTTCAGTGTCACATGATCCTTCAGAAATCATTCTGATTTGCTGCTCAAAAAAAAATTTTTATTATTATTATTATGTTGAAAACAGCGGAGCTGAATTTTTTCAGGTTTCTTTGATGAATAGAAAGTTCAGAAGAACAGCATTTATCTGAAATAGAAATCTTTTGTAACATTATAAATGTCTTTATCATCACTTTTGATCAATTTAAAGCTTCCTTGCTAAATAAATGTATCAATTTCTATAATTTCTTCTTTTTATTTCAGATAAATGCTGATCTTTGGAACTTACTAAAAAAAATTTACTCAACTGTTTTAAATATTGATAAGAATAATAATAATATTGATAATAATACTATTAATAATAATAATAATAATAATAATAATAATAATAAATGTTTCTTGAACAGCAAGTCAGTATATCAGAATGATTTGTGAAGGATCATGTGACACTGAAGACTGGGGTAATGATGCTGAAAATTCAGCTTTGATCACAGGAATAAATTACATTTTAAAATAGATTCAAATTTAAAGCAGTTATTTCAAATAGTAAAAATATTTCACAATATTACTGTTTTTGCTGTATTTTGGATCAAATAAATGCAGGCTTGGTGAGCAGAAGAGACGTCTTTAAAGAAACATTAAAAATCTTACTGATCAAAAACTTTTGACTGGAAGTGTAGTTTCTTTCTACAGTATAAAACTAACCATGACCCTTAATGTTTCAACAACAAAAAAAATGTATGAATAATTTTTACCTTCAAGAACTAGCTATGTTCTGGGAACAGTTTTGTCCCTAAATTGAAGCTAAGTAAAGCCACAAACCCAGCAAAAGCTCAGTAACACAGATACACTTGCACCTCCTATCTTCATCTCCTGGCTTTCATTAGCATATTTATTAACATTTCACCATTTCTGTTTCTCGCTCTGTCTGAAACACACACACACAAACAAATCAAAACAAAACTCTGCTGATCTAAAATGGGCTTCATGGATAAACTGCCAGTGACTGCAGTCTCAAATGACTCAGTGAATATTAACATCCTCTAAAAAGACAGTTGGAAGTTGTTTATCTATTATTTGATTAGGAAAGAAAACACCATTCATGACTGTAAGTGGAACCTGTCAGTGATGCAGTCGCATGAGGTGAGCGTGTCCCAGTAAAAGCTGAACCGCAGGAGAAAGGTGACTCATTAAAATCACACCATCCTATTTCGGAGCACTATTGACGGAAGGTTTGGGTCATCTGGAGTCATCGCAAACCGCCACAGCATAACACAACACACGCTGGCCAAAACACACAATGAACCAGCATAAGTCAATCGAAACCACTTATCTTAACACATGACAGTAATGTGTCACAGACAATGAGAGGTACTGATCAACCATGAAAACTTGTACTTTGGGAAAACTATTACAACAAAGCAACAGATTTCAGAGAGACAGAGTTGACACAGTATCCAGACGCGACATGACAAGTAATTTGTCTGTCTGCACCGAAACAGACAGTTTATTCTAACAAGACAAGACGAGCGTCACATAATTTGTCTGTCTACACTAAAAAGAAACAATATATTAAGGCATAGTTCATCCCAAAAAAGAAAATTCATATTTACTCACCCTAATGTTGTTTCAAACTGTATCACTAAATTTAATTTATGGAACAAACAACATTTTTAATTTAAAATAATATATTAGTTACTCCTCTTCAATATAATAAAAAACTTTTTTGCAATATAATCAAAGTCTTTTAAATCTATACAATAGATTTGTGTAAAAAACAAACAAAATAAGCATTTAAGTAGTTATTTAATGAATTGTTTTTTTGTTTGTTTGTTTTTTGTCAGATCTCAATGAATTAATAAATGAATCATAAATCATTTAGACTGCTCCGGTTCTTGAGTTCAGCTCACTGAGTGATCTAGCTGCATCAGTTAACAGCTCATTGGAGGAGAAGATCAGAGAATAACAACTTACAGGTGCATCTCAATAAATTAGAATGTCATGGAAAAGTAGAGAACCAGGGTGCCAAGAACATGAGAAAAGGTAGAGAAAAAGAGAAAATAATAAAAGGAATAGAGAAGGGTTAGCACTGGACCCACCAGAGGGTTGAGCTCATTTTAAATTGGGGCTGTTGCCGCCCCAGACTTACAGATTCTCACACACCCACCCAAATCACGTCCTCACGCCAAAATACTGTAATACTCATAATTCTTTTTTCATTTGGCTAAAGAACAATTTCGCCCCCAGATGAGGAGTGAGCCTGCTGGGAAGGATGGGAGAGAGTAAGAGAAGGAGAGAGAGGGAGAGAGAGAAAGACAGGGAGGTATTGTGTTAGTAAGGCTGCAGTGGTTCAGTGTTTGCTTTGGTTTCTAGGGTAACACCAGACTGCAAAGAGATAACTTAAACAGATGTGGAGAACCCAGGGAGGGAGAAAAAGACGAAAAAATAAATCAGGAAAAATAACGAAACAGAAAAGCCACAGATAAATCCGCCTTGTCTGTGACTGTTTCTGGTATTTTGGTGTTTAAAGAAAGAGCAAATCATGTCCAGAGAGAGAGAAACCAGAGCGATTAAAAGAAAAGACAGAGGGGAAAAAACTGGAGAAAATAATTATAAGAAATTCATGTGATTTACTGATTTAAACAAAAAAGGAAAAAATCTATTTATAAACATGGATGGCAGGCATGCAGGTTGTCAGTCACAGAGATAAAAACATTTAATTTATTTTTCCAAATTCTTAATCATTCACGTATACAATTAGGGCTGTCAGAACTATGAAATTTTGCTATAATAAAAAATTATATGAAAAACTGTCTAGTCTGTATATATGTTATCTGAAGCATAACTTTAACACACACTGAGGATTTCCTTTAAAGATTAAATTATTTAATATAACAAGAATGTGATATTCCAAATATTTATTTATTAAGTAAATATTACGAATATTACTATATAAAATATAAAAGTCCACTTAAATTCACACAATTTTTATGGAACCTAGCCCTCTTGAATAAAATAAAAATAAAAATAAAATAAAGTCTTCTTTAGGACTTTATTATATATTAATTGAGACTAATTTAGAGACAACCTGGAATATTTGCACTTGTAAAAAATCAAATTTTAAGACCGCAGGACTACTTGAATAAGAAAAGGTAATATTTGATTTAAAAGATTGTAGCATCTAAAATGCATCCTTTTCCTTAAACATTCACATACATGAATACTTAAAAAATATAACGCTGGTTAATCTACCCACGTGATGCATGAGTGTGTATGCATCTGTGTGTATGCGCGTGTGAACATCCAGTTTCAGAGAGGGAGGTAATTATGAATGTATTCTTTCAAGTCCTCAGCAGTGCGACGAAGGTTCCTCCTTTCATCTGGAAACACCAAATCTGGTAGGACGAATTAAGAGAGACAAATTAAAAAGATAAAATTCCCTTTCTAGTCAGCAGACAGAGACCTTCAAACCCCTCTTGGACCATTGACAATTCAAAAAGCAGCGACAAAAATGAATGTTTCTGTCCCAAAAAGCATAATCTCAACCATAGCTGCTCCGAAAATAATTAATAGATTAAAATGATAATTGGAAACTCAAACCTCCCCTCCCTTCCCCACAGATCCTTACAAGCTGTACATGGCGGACAAATTTAAATTAAGAAAAAATAAGAGTGGAAAAGAAATGAAATAATAAAAGTGTGTGAAATATTGATAGCGTCTGATGTATTGTCTCATCTGCGAGATCACTGAGGGCCGACCATGACAAACAGGGGAACTGAAGAAGAAAATTGACCAGCACAATGATCTATAGGAAACGATCATTCATAAAGCGAGCCCATATTAACATCTATTTGTCAATGGTCGCTGAGGGAATTTTCTCAATGTTGTATTTCACTCTCTTCCACAGAAAAGAGCTGTTTATATGGAGCAAAACAGATTGAACCAATCCATACTAAAAAACACTCAAATCGATATAAGATCAAGGCAGCCATGCAAAATGGGAGTGAAAATGGTGTTGCTTGCATCTCCTGTATCTTTCCCAAAAACTGTGAGTGGATTAAAAGTGTCATTTTATCATTGAAGCTAATTTAGACTATATTTAAAGTGTAAATTATTATTCCCAAATCGAGTGCTTGTTTTAGCCACCTGACCTCATGTGCACTGATTCAACAAGTGCTGCGAGTTTGCCCTTTGTTATGACCTATGCAAAACAGAGCTTATCTGTTTACACAAGAATACTCAAACCGAGCATCATTAAACCCTCAATGTCAAGAGTCACAGAAAAGTGCAGGGTCTACAAATACATCTAGTAAGGTTAACACAAGACAGGTTCTTCACGATAACCATCTCTTTGAGGGTCATAGGAAACTCATTTGATTTTTTTCCAATAATTCTAGAATATTTTTTGCCAGAACTGGGCCATAGTGAAGTTTGGGGTCTGTAAGAATTTTGATGTTTTTGAAACAAGTTCTATCCTATGCTCACCAAGGCTGCATTAATTTGATAAAAATACAGTGAGATTGTACTAAATATTGAACAGCTATATTGTAAAATGTATACTTTAATATATTTCATTTTTTATATATTTTCATGAGCCATTAAACCAGTCTGGCGCGTGACGCGTCAACGTGCTCTGGCATAGTAGACATAGATATTTATAAGTAGATCCCCACGGCCCATAGAAACAGTCACTAATGAGGAATCTACTTATATATGTCTATGTCTACTATGCCAGAGCACATACACGCGTCACGCGCCGGATGTTGTGAATGCGCTCAGGACAGCTGGACATTGCGGTGGATCAGAGGTAAAAAAAAATGATATAAATATTGTTCAGTTTCTTGCACAGACCGATCGTTTCGTGTCTTAAGACCTCAATGTATCGTCACGAGCCGCAGGGTTTAATTTGGTTTTGTCTGTGTATGTTTTTTTGACTCTCAAAGCTGTGGAGCCCATAGACTGCCATTATATGACTGACAGACTGCAACGGTTTGAGTTAAAAATCTTCGTTTGTGTTCTACTGAAGAAACAAAGTCACCTACATCTTGGATACCCTGGTGGTAAGCAGATAAACATCAAATTTTCATTTTTGGGTGAACTATCCCTTTAAGTCTAAAAACAGCTTATATTGAAGCCAAATTGTGGACAAAACAACAGCTTGTGGAATGTACCACTTTATGATGTAACAGTGTGGCTAAACACCGCCTCCGCAGAAGATGATCAATGCCTGCTGCTACATCACTGCCTGTTTAGCCCTGCCTACCGATCCTGCATTACTGGCTGTTTAGCACCGCCTACCGATCCTACTTAACTGGCTGTTTAGCCCCGCCTACCGAACCTACATTACTGGCTGTTTAGCCCCACCTACCGATCATACATTACTGGCTGTTTAGCCCCACCTACCGATCCTACATTACTGGCTGTTTAGCCCCGCCTACCGATTCTACATCACTGCCTGTTTAGCCCCACCCACCAATTCACACACATACTGCTGTAGGTAAATGGCAAGAGCGGCAAAGGCAGGTCTACGCAGAAACCAAATGATAAACTTTATTTGATGAACTTCATTTTTAATAAAGTTCCAGACCGCGTCATTAAGAACTTGGCCTTTGTTCTCTTCATTTTACCGTGGATTTGTTTATGGACAAGGCACAATTTGACGCAGGATTTTCAGAAAGATTGAAACTAAAAGACGATGCTGTGCCGACTATATTGGATCCGAAGTAGCGCCACACAAGTGTGACTAACTGTTTTCATCACATGATCACTTCTGCTTTGTCTGTTATTACAGATCGTTTGATATATACTGAACCAAAATCACAGCAATGTCCATCTGTGAAGAAAGTATGCTGTCAAACATACATAACTGTCAGCCAATCATAGCAGTGGGCATTTACTTCTGAGTCTTACTTCTAAATTATGATGTTTTTTGATGTAAAAATCCTGATAACATTATATGTGGACCTCAGGGAACAGTATAAAATAAAAAACAAAGGCAGTTCATGACCCCTTTAAATTAAATCTTACTGAATCATAGTCCTCACAAACACAAACTGAAACCAATGGAGTACTCTTAAAAGCAGGAACTGCAAAACATGATTTAATAGCTGCCAGCAAATGTTTTTAGATGCTATTGTTGAAGACAGAGAATGTGCTGCAGAACTGACGTTTTGGTGACGGTGGTGCTTAAAAAGGGATGAATTTAGAAACAGAGAGGGTTTTAGTGCATGGTAAAAACCTTTCCTAGAAAGTGTGTCTTTAAATTCATCCCCACATTTGTTCTGTCAGATAAAGGTAGGAGATGTCTAGCTTCTGTCAGAATGAGGAGTAAAGCTGCTTGTGAACTGTCATATTTGAATGTTCACTTCAAGTTCAAGAGGTAAAAAGTCTGAGGACTGTCTAATGAACAGTTTCACTGTTAGCAAAATCCTTTTATTTAGATAGTCTAGCATGAAAGCCATTAAAAGCAGACGTCCTTTTGGAGCAAATCACCTGGGCGGCAATGACCTCTTCATTGGTCCTCATCAGAGATAAGTTACTGCTAATGTGAGCAAGCATCATTAGGGATATCTCAGCACTAGTATAAATTTACACATGTCCTCATTCGCATTGGGAAATACTGCACTTGTATAGTAATGCATGTGTGTGTGGTCAGACCTGCTGGAAAGGTTCAAGAGCTCGTGTTTGTCTGCAGCAGTGGATTTGTCCTCCAGCTCCCACAGCAGAACGTTGATGAGATGAGAGTTCTTGATGACAATGGGCACCTCCTCGAACATGTTCTCATTACCCACGCTAGCCTTCTTCAGCCTGCGCACACAGAAAAGAGATTTTCATTGTCATTGATCCATTTTCAGAATCTGGAAGTGACCCCTGTCAGAGATTTGACATCACATTTTTGATAACAGCAAGCTAACACTGTGGCCTAACTAGGCACAATATGTCAAGTTTCAAGCAATTTGTCAGGCCATATTGAAAGTGAAACAGCTGTGCGATTTGACATAATCATGGCCAATTTGGAGGAGCAGGATTATGGCCCAATCAGATTTCACAGTGAGCAGGGCCACCCAGCATGACACTGAAATCAACAGAAGCCAATCAACAGACAAAAGGTCCTTGCTCATTATGTATAAAGACAAAAACATCACTAATTTGCTTACTTTCACTACCTTTCTTTTGAACCCCCTTTCTACTTCCTCCCACTCATTCCCAATCAGTTTTTGACTTTATCCCCCTCATTAGGATCTGCTTGTGGTCGAGTCTCCTGCAATGTGGGAGTGAAAGGCACTATGTGAACAGATCACTCTAGTTAAATGATTGGATGATTTCAACTCTTCTCCATTACTAATCGCTCCATTAGACAAGCACTCTAGGCTGATTAGTCAACTGATTTCAAAAGGCAGTTTTTGTTTTGATGGGTTTTTTTTTTTTTTTTCAGATCAGAATTATAAGAGAATATCTCAAGCCAAACTACAAGGGAGACTGAAGTAAACAAGGGAACGGACCCTTTATCCAGACTCTCAGCCAATCCATCATTCACCAATACAAAAATGCAAGATGTTGTCTACAACAATATATAATAACTTAACAGTTAAATAAGTAAAAGAAAAAGGTTATACAACACCTTTAGAAATAAATTTAGGAATAATATACATAAATAAATAGAAAATATAATATAATGTAATGTAATGTAATGTAATTAAAAATGAAAAATATATCCTCATATATATATATATATATATATATATATATATACACACAAACACACACATTTGATATTCTGGTCATTTTTTTTTTCAAGCACATTTTACCAATTCCATAAATCTGAACAACTACTACTTTTGTATTTAGTCATTTATAACCTGCTTAATAATTCTACATACCCTGGTATAAGGCATTCCAGTCCTTGTTAATTATATATCACTTATAAATTATTAAATATAAACTTATTGGTAGTTATTAAGATCAATGTGGTTGGGAATTGGTAAAATGTGCTTGGAAAAAAAATATGACCAGAACATCAACTTACATAATAATTATGCACACACTGTGTGTGTGTGTGTGTGTGTGTGTGTGTGTGTGTAGTCCATCTGCATTAACTTAATTGACTCCCAGGGATTTAAAGGCTTACCCATCTGCCGAGAAGTCCTTCTCTTTACAGATCTCCATGAGTTTTGGGGTCAATCTGTAGGCTTTCAAGTACAAAGAACCCTGGGCTGTCTTGATGGGATCTACAGAGAAAGAGAACCAAAGACAAAACATGGATGGTCTTTCTGAAGATAGCAAACAAACCACAGTGTTCCGACTTGCTCAACACAGGGTACTATCTATAAGCTTCAAAAACAATAAACACTGTAGCAAGACCAAAATACAAAGGCAGTAAAGGCTGTTATGACAACCGTATGAAAGGTAAAATTGAAGATATGAAGTTTGAAAAGATGCAGTATATGTTAATCTACCAAGGGAACAGAACTGTCAGCCAGTCAAAGTGGATTAATCTCACTGTCAGAAGGCTGACATTTTGAGTGTAAAAAAAAATCATTAATGTTCTGTCGAAGATGGGCAAATCTTGCCAGTCAGCTCTGCCCGTTATCCATTATCCAAAGACAGGATTTATAGCACGGTTCTGTTCTGATATTAAATGCATTTAGACACCGTGGAAAGATGATCGTCTGTCTTTTCAAACTGTCTTGAAACTTCCCAAATGACATAAAATGGCAATCTAAAACAACTCAAGGAGATCTCAAGATCTGCTTAGACACAGGTAAGATTCAGTTAGTCTTCTTCAAGTACCTGTTGAAATGGAGTGGACTGAATCAATACCAGGTTTGAGGATTTATTTATGTACCACTTCTGAAAGCATCCACAATGCCTTTTGCAACAACAGTGTACGCAACTTGAAATGATAAAAACAAAACACAAATACAGAAATAAGCAGAAGTGCATGATGAAAATTAATTTACTAAAATGTATTGTATTGCTAAGTGGTTTCTAGGGTGCTGCCACCCACCAACATCTCTGACTTGTGTAGTGTATCAAGCTATGATAATGAGAATATAGCAAGGTAATATAATTCGTAAAGAATTATTTGTATTGATATCAAATTTTGGACCCAACTGTATGTTTTTTTTTTTCAGCTACAGCTACTAACTCACAAAAAAAATCAAACATACAGCCATTACATTTCCTAAAAAAAATGCTAAGAATTTCTCAAATTCACAACATATCATTTGAAACAAAATACAATAATATTAATTTAGAAAAAGAGAAAGACAGGATATTTTTTCACAAATTTTTAACCATTTTTGACTATATAACATACACATAAAACCAAGCATACAGCCATAAAATTATACAATTTCCTAAGAATTCACAAATTGTGAATTAATTGGATGGATGGACGAGAGATCCCCAATTTCTGACCCTCCCATTACTAAAATGTGCATAAAATCAAGCTTTTAGTAATAACATTTCCTAGTAATTTCTCAAATTTCACTAAATATAATAATAAATACATGAAATTTAGTATATGAATATGAATATACTACAAATACTAGGAACTGAATCATGAATGCCATATAATGACATGATGCACGATGATGAATCAGAAAAAAATTCACTAGTGGTCTCAACTCCACTACATGTCCTTTACTTAAAAAAAAAACACCTAGTACCTGAGAGCCAGAAGAACATATGAAACCATGTCTATCAAGTCTCACAGTTTGTGGACCCATTGGCCCTCTGAATGCTTTCATTGTTCATGTGGAGAGTGCGTTTGGTGCAGGGTGGGGTTTCTGGCAGCTGCTAGGTGTCTTGATATATTTTTAGTGAGGAGCGCCTGCTTGCCACCACAAGGAGGAGACTGAACAAACACTCTGATAGGGATCCACATCTGGCCTGAGGGGGAAGTCTGAAGAAAGTTACAGACAGCGTGGACCACGAGACCGAGAAACGGACAGGGGCGTGAATGAAGGAGGGGTGCGAAGAACAGTCAAAGTTTTATGTTTACGTTTTCATCCAAATCCGCACTGGAATCAGAGCGCGTTTACGACACTGCTGTCCCAGCTAGGTGTGCGAGTGGAGGTGTACAACATTTGTTTGTGTGAGTTCAGGGAAACAGATCTGTTGTTAATGCAGCTTGTCTGACGATTCCTCCGCCCTCGTGCCGCCATCGGCCCATCGACATCTGGGATGGGTGGCGTCTGTGCCGGTGGATGAGGGGGTGTCCGGGTCCTGAATCCACTCCTGAAGGTACACATCAGCTCTGCGATAGCAGGCTAAATAAACAGAGGGGAGGAAACCCTGTCTAGACAAGGCTGCTGCTGGGCCCGCTACGCACACCAGCCTCCTGTTTACACAAGGGGGGAATGCTGTCCACAGCCAAGAAACGATGGGGTAGAGAGACGGAGAGAGAGAGAGAAGGGAAAGTGGTAGAGCAAAGCAGTGCAGTAGGAATGAAGTGTGTGTTTGGGTGAGGGGTGCTGAAACATGCTGCTCTGTATGTGTGTGTGTGTGTGTGTGTGTGTGTGTGTGTGTGTGTGTGTGTGTGTCGCGCGCAAGCATGAACAACAGAAATAGAGAAAGGGAAGTCCAGAGGAAAAAAAGCAAAGAGCAAGGTGATACCAGAAAGGACAGCTAAATACCTCAGACACCATGTTTATACTGTATATGCACATAATTTTCCCATTAAGGTACATTTTCTGGTTACGCATTTTATTCAGAAGATATTTACATGCTTCACAGCTATTGGAATATTTATATATACACATGTAATCAGCATAATCCAAATAAACCAAAATGTTTTCTGGAAATACTGGAAAAGTTCTTAACATTTTTAGTCACTTCGGAATTCGGACAGTAAATATAACCAGCTTATTCATGTCCACCATAACAGGATTAACCTTAACCATAATCATGAATTGCAAAATGTTGGTCATTAAATTCTTAGAAATGTAGACATGGCATTTTTTGAATGTTTGTAAAATGTGACCCTGGACCACAACATTTTTTTTAATTGAGATTTATACATCATCTGAAAGCTCAATAATAAGCTTTCAATTGATGTATGGTTTGTTAGGATAGGACAATATTTGGCCGAGATACAACTATTTCAAAATATTGAGAAAAATGCCTTTAAAGTTGTCCAAATGAAGTTCTTAGCAATGCATATTACTCATCAAAAATTAAGTTTTGATATATTTATGGTAGGAAATTACAAAATAGCTTCATGGAACATGATCTTTATTTAATATCCTAATGATTTGTGGCATAAAAGAAAAACCGATCATTTTGACACATGCAATGTATTTTTGGCTATTGCTACAAATATACCCGGTGCTACTTATGACTGGTTTTGTGCTCCAGGGTCACAAATGTTAGTAGAAATCAAATTTGAGTCTCTCTCATTTCAAATGTGTTTTTTTTATTTGACTTTTCACAACTGTTTATATGTAATATCACTAAGAAAATACCTTTGTTTCAGCACCACATGATTCTTCAGAAATTAATTATATTTTGTTGACAGATTTGGGGATCAAGAAACATTTCTTGTTATTGCAAATGTTCAAAACAGTTGTGCTGCTTAATATTTGTGTGGAAATTGTGATACATTGTCAAGATTGATTGGTCAATAAAAAGCTTAAAAGAATAGCATTTATTTGAAATAGAATTTTTGGTAACACTTTAGAATAGGGAACACTTATTCACTATTAACTACGACTTTTCCCTTCATAAATTCCTAGTTTGCTGCTTATTAATAGTTAGTAAGGTAGTTATTAAGTTTAGGTATTGGGTAGGATTAGGGATGTAGAATAAGGCCATGTAGAATAAGGCATTTATATGTGCTTAATTAGTACTAATACATGGCTAATATTCTAGTAATATGCATGCTAATAAGCAACTAGTTAAGAGACCCTAAAATAAAGTTACCGAATTTTTTTTCCACTGAAATAGAAATATTACGTTCCTGTGCACGTTTATGCGTTTTTAGGTGACAAACTGGGAAAAATAAAATGTGCTTTCTGTGGATAATAAAACAATATCATTGGAAACATGTAGGAATAGTCTGTTATTATTTATTGCTAGGTCAGTGTTGTTGTGGGTTTTGGTTCTTCTGCTGTTGTAGGACCTTTGAAATAGCTGAAATCATTTGGCAAAGTGATAAAGTTTTATATGCACATTCTGACTTAAGAGACAAAAAAAGTGTGAGAGAACCTACCATATATAAGCACAACTGACTCTTCGAAGGCGTGCTGGTAGCTGAACTGAGAGTCCAGAAGGGCACGGGTGACAAAAGAACCGTAGAAAGTTGACTGGTACCAACCCACGTGAAGATGATCAATGTTTACATGGCGCAAACTTCTCATCATCTCCATCTGATACTGGACTACAAGAGAAAAGAGAGAGAAATGGCATCAGGGTAGGCATGATGAGGCGTGATGTTGTGATTTCTCAATTGCACATTATGCTTGACGATTATTGTCTCTCTCATTATGAGCAGCCCTGAGCAGCTCTTCACCTGAAGAATAGGTCACAGTCACAACAAACAACAAGGACATGCAAAGTACCTTGAGAGGGAAAATGTTTTACAGATAAAATCATGCCCGCTTTGTTTCATTGTCAGCTAAAAAGCTGTTAAGGGTAATAATTCGCCTGCCCTGGAACCTGGGTTGAATCTAATATTCAACCAATATGAGATTTTAGCTGTGAAGATCTATATTTCTTAATTGAAGATGATGATATTTTGATCAATACACAATTGCTATAAATTTGAAAATCATTAGGCAAAAATAAATGCTAGAAAATTAAAGTAAGAACACTTAATTATACACACACACACCAATAAAACAAAAAAACAAATATAATGTGTTTGGTAAAGTATGTACTCTTTTGGTGAAGAAAAAGTACACACTTTTGAGTGTGTAGTAGAAGAGTAGGCAAGCTTTGGGACATACTATTACGTCACACAACTGCGTCTTTAACGGACGCTCTGTCGCATAGATATACACGCACCCTGTCACTGTAAACTGGCCTATCAATCATCTTGTCACAGTTAACATCCTCCACATTGCATTTCATTTAACTTCCTACCGTACTGGAGAGAAAAGAAGTAGCACATTGAGTGTGTAGTTTTTCTAACGCGTTTTATTCGTGTTTGTAGTTCTCGACCGAATCCTTTGCCAAAGCGCAATGGATTGTGGGCAGTTTTAGCCATTAGAGTGTGCACAGATCCACACTTCAAAAATCGACCTGAAATAGTAGACCATCCGGGGACTTTTGGCATACTCTTTTCAACATACTATGCTTTGGGACACACTTATTCTAATCTCACATACTATTTAGGATGGATAGTATGAACATTGAGACGCAGGGTTTCCTAATTGATATCTTTGCCTTGTTTTGCAGTAAAACTGCCTAAATGCTTAAAACAAGATAATAATAACAATAATCATTCTATATATATATGACTTCCTGTGGTCACCGAATGCTTCAGCCATATGAAAAAAAAAACAGCATCAATATCCTGTTAAACTCAAAACTTTAAAAACCTATATTCACAATTTAGCACAATAGCATCTGGATGCCTTAATATTCAGAAGGATTTTAGGATAAAGTTAGGATAACTGAGGACAACCAAAGTAAGATCAAGGTAATCTTATTTGAATCCACAAATGATTAAATAGCAGTCTGTTCATGCCCAGTGTATAAATCGTCTGTGCTTCAGTGTAAAAACACAGTTTTGTAAAAACACATCCTTTTCTTTTCTAGCATATGCACCATGAGCTTATGAGCAAAAACCCTCTCTGACAGAACTCAGACAACCTTGATGGGGGTTTTAATGCTTAAATGAAATGGATTCTAAGTCTTGGACATTCAAGACCTCTGTTAGCAGTCCAATCTCACTGTATGTATAGCCAATTAGCACTGTTTACTACTGTAGCTTAGTGAATTGATATTTAACATTACATTTCTGTCTGGAAGAAAAAGTTACGCTCTGTAATTAAACTCTACAGCTTATACGTGACCGAATGATCAACAAAGTGAGTGTAAAAAACCTTAAAGAAGATGCACAATAGGTCAATGTTCCTAAAGAGAAGATATTGACAAGCTGATATATTGGCCGAGCCCAAGAGTCTTAAAATTCTCTTGCAAAGGGCATTTTGTAGAGGGCTAAGAAAACTAATATTTGTCCATCCCTAGTGTACAGTATGATCACAGGAATATCTGTGCAAGTACACAAACTTTCAGGACAGACATGCACTTCAGCAGAGTGCACTTACGGAGCACTGGGCTTCCTGTCAACCCTGGAAACTTCGACCCAAACACGGCCAGATTTGGTACTACAGACAGCGATAAATGTACGAACACAGACACATTAACTCCTCGGCTTAGCTGGACAACAATATCCACTCTCGTGTGCCAAGCCAGAATCCTGATGTCCCGAAAATACCCCCTCTGACAATTCAAAGGCCATTCGGTTTTATCCCGAATGCAAAAGGGAGATAGCAGGATTATTAACAGAGGAAACATGTCGAGGATGAACATAACAAGGGTCTTCATTTTATTAAAACAGTTAGAGTGTCTCATAAGGTACATTACATGAGAAGTGGTCCGCTCTCATGAGAAAACATCTGCGATATGAAGACTAGCCGTAGGATGGAAGGCAACAGTAACTCAAAAAAAATTGAAACTAATCAAATGGTTGATCCTTTGGGGGGGAAAACATCTCTAAAAGGAAATGTGTGAGAAAAGAGGGTTGGAGGGGACGAAAACAAATGGATCTTTTAGAGTGGATACAAAACGGACTTCAAAAGCAGTGAAAAATGTGTGCATTCCAGTACACGGCACAGTTTTAAAACCACAAACCAGATTTTGCAAGGACAAATCAGTTGCATGAGAATAAGGGGGGGCAGAAAAGATGTAAAAAGAAAAAGAGAGACAAAACGAACAAACCCAAACCCCCTAAAACACTTGAAACAACAACACAAAAAACAAGATAATGAGAGTCTTGCTGATGGCATCCTGTAATTAAATGGATTTTCATACGGAAAAAACACCACCCCAAAAAAATATATAAAAACAAGGCCAAACCCACCAGATTTTTTTGCATGGAAGATTTTTTTTGCACGATCCGAGACCTCGCATTAACTTTTTGACTTCTTCTGTGGACACTTCAAATGTTGTGGGTTACAAGCAGAAAAACAAGGAGGCCTAAAAATGGCAGATCTGCACAGCAATGTTGGCGCCTCGATTTCAAAATGCTAATGTTAAAGTAGTACCAAAAAAGAAATGATCAAAGATGTCAAATTAAACAGTACAACATCATCACTCTTTATCACCTCAAGGTCAAAGTAGTAAGGCAGAGTGTATTTTGGGTTGTGTAAATATAATAGCCATTGCTTTTGTCTGTACTTGAATCATGCGGCTTGTTACAGAGAAATGTGCTATATTCCAAGCAACTGGACTAACAATTTTCACCTAGAAAACCATAAAACTATGAATATGATATTCTAGACATGTGCCGGTATTTGGTATGCGATATATCACGATAATTAATATGCACGGCATTGTTATCGTGGGCACTTCAAAATACAGAGAATAATTATTTATTACAAATTATTCCGAATTTTGAATGCATTTTAAGAATACTTTTCACATCAACTGGATAAATGCACAACACCGCTGTAAACTGCGTCAAAGACGCGTGCGCGCACTGATGTAAACAAGCACGGATGAGAAGCGCATAGTGGAACACGTGAGAGATGCTCTGGATGAAAGTGCACGTTCACTCTCTGACAACAGATGGCGCTGAACAGCACAAATGCGGCCGTTACCCCGGAAACAAAGCAGCTGCGCAACTTTCGGTTTCTTAAATGTATTTAAATTATTTTTAAAAAGCCATTCCCAGATTTGTGTATTCGCAGTGGTGTTCATCACAGCACCAAATAGGCTACTTAAATATTTAGACTAAATAGGCTATTTATTTTAAAACTTTTTTACATTTTAATCTGGACTACAAAACTCCCTAGATATTGTTTGAAAGTGTTTTGATTCTTTATTGTTCGGTCACACTTTACATTAGGGCTTCATTAGGGCTTCAAACTCCCAATAAAAAAAATAATAATCTAAACATTCATTAATCTTAGGTAATTCCAATATTTAATAACACATTGTTAAAATCAAAAGTTGCAACTGTGTTATTTAATGAGCCCGAGCTAACATGAACTAAGAGTTGTATTTTTAACAAAGATTAATAACTTCTGTAGCAAATGTAGCTATTGCTCATTGTTAATGTGAATGCATTAACTAAGGTTAACTAATGAGGTCTTATTGTAAAGTGATACCTATTGGTCTTTATAACTCTTTTGCACTTTAATCTGTGTAAAATTTTTAACTTTATACATTTTTTGTGTATTGCTTTATTGTATTTAAATGTTCAGTTATTTTTGTTATAAGAAAAAAGCTATTAAACCTGTTATACTGTATTATGACAACACTTTTTTTTAAAACTAAATTTCAATATCGTTATAATACCGTATACCGTGACAAAAGCATTAGCAATTAATCGCAACATGAAAATTTGATACCGGCATATCCCTAATTCATTAATCTTAGGTAATTCCAATATTTAATAACACATTGTTAAAATCAAAAGTTGCAACTGTGTTATTTAATGAGCCCGAGCTAACATGAACTAAGAGTTGTATTTTTAACAAAGATTAATAACTTCTGTAGCAAATGTAGCTATTGCTCATTGTTAATGTGAATGCATTAACTAAGGTTAACTAATGAGGTCTTATTGTAAAGTGATACCTATTGGTCTTTATAACTCTTTTGCACTTTAATCTGTGTAAAATTTTTAACTTTATACATTTTTTGTGTATTGCTTTATTGTATTTAAATGTTCAGTTATTTTTGTTATAAGAAAAAAGCTATTAAACCTGTTATACTGTATTATGACAACACCTTTTTGCAACTAAATTTCAATATCGTGATAATATCGTATACCGTGATAAAAGCATTAGCAATTAATCGCAACATGAAAAATTGATACCGGCATATCTCTATGATATTCTCAACGTTAGGGTGTGCAAACAACCACTCAACATGCTAGCAACATGATAAAAATCACTCAAAACCTATTAGTAATCCAACAGAAACGCCCTGGCAACCATATTATGGTGGTGATTTACTTCCGAAAAATGTAAAGTATAATTTTTGTTCATATGTTTTGTATCCAAATTAACCAAAAGGAAACCAAAAAGTACTTTCCATCCCAGAATCCTACTTTTACAGGAACAGTCTGATATCATTTACAACTGTAGTCATCTAAAAGTAACCTTAACACAGCCTCAAACTAAATTTAATTCTAATACTAATGACTCA